TGGCCCCGCGGGGCCCTCCCGCGACGGCGAAACCCCCCAGCCCAAAGCGGCCCGCCGGCCCCGCCCAGCCCGGGCAGCCCCCCGGCGGCAGGGGTGTATCCGGGCGGGCGGCCGCGCGGCTCCGGGAACTCGGCTCCGTCAGACTTCCGGGACAGAGGAGGCTTTTCTGCTCAAAATCCACCAGACTCCTCCGATGCGCTTTGCTTTTACGGTGGAAAACTCCGATAACCATTTCAAAAGGCACACACAGCCCTGAAAATAAGTGAAATTAGAACCTGCCGACTTCACTTCCTGGAGGCTTTTTGTTGGGGCTTGAAACTAGGAATCTGTGCGGGTCATCCTCGTAAGTGCCTTTTTTATCCGTTCACACCGATGCTCGGGCGTCTACACTACGTTTAACATCGTTAGCCTGGTGGCGTTTTGACAGTGTATTAACGTGATTTAATGATGGTTTCTGCCTTGGTCGGTTAACGTGGCCTCACTTGGTAACCTGAAATAAATGCATACGCGTTGCAAAAATAAAGGCGCCGAGGGAGAGTTCTCTTTTTAACCCTGCTGTGAAATAGATAAGAAAATATCCCCTAGGGCGTTGCCAATATTGGGAAGAGTCGAGTATTAGGTAGACCTTGGAAATAGATGTTAGAAACAACAAAAACATTGGCTTGTTCATAGCCATTTGTAAATTAACGTTATAAAATCATTAAATAATACTAGGGATGAAAAAAGCTCGTTTCTTGTGAGTTGCTGTTTTAGAACCTGAATCCTATGTAGTGCAGTCACTCATTAGCTTTGAAACAGCAGCTTCAATGGTTCTGTACCGACAAGTTCAACTTAGGAAATCTCCAAATGCGGTTACTACAAAGCGGATGCGGTATGGGGTGCTTCCTAAAACGAAGGTTCTTCCCCCCCAGAGGCGTTACTCCAGTTTCCTTTAAAATGAGCTGAAAAGCCAGGGAATCCTAAATTTTCAATTGGCTAACGCCAGTTGACCATCACTGGCAAACTGGCATGATAAGGTTAATCATCCCTAGTTGATAAGTTAATTGGTCCAATTCAGTTTACAAAAATTTGGCCGTCAGGCCACATGTGACACACGGTGTAAAATCTAAAGACCCATGCGGTGTGGGTTTTATCAAATCAAACCAGCAGTACTGATAGGATATAGCTTCTTATAAGCATAATGCGGAGACACGTGCCTCTGATCGAAACCATTTTACACGGAACAGTATTCCACTGACTCTGTGAAGCTTAACTCCCTGGGATTTGTATACTCCAGACCTCAGATTGCAGGCTGGCGCTCCATAGGCCACCATGTTTTCCAGACCTGTGTGTTCGGTTTTCCAGGTGTGTTTTAAACCTTTGAATTAGTTATCTATATTTTAAAACCAGGATATTTCCACTTGCAAAGCTGGACTTTTGGCTTTTCTTGGAGATATGAGACCCGGCCACAGGGGAGGGACTTGTTGGCTGGAGCCCAGCCTCTGTAAGTTATCCACTCCTCCCCACCCCGCCTTCATTCGTCAGGTACTTGTCTGCCCTGTGCACTTGAGTGTTCTAGTTCTGTCCCAGACAGGCCACTTTACCCAGTGCTTGCCTTTTTATTAGGATGATTCAAGTCATAGGTGATTTAGGCATGCTAGGTCTATACTTAATGCTTGTGTAATTGAAACCGCAAATCTTGATTTTCAGAAACTGATCTTGACAGATTCAACCAATCAGTAACTGACTATGCACATTTCTTGAAGACAGGCACTATAGAATGTCCCGGTTCTCTCTATTCTGCCTTTCCAAAAGATGCAGCAAGACGTAGGGGAGCAGGTGATCTCCGGAATTAAATGTGGTTTGGATTCCCGCTAGGTACTTGTGCAATGTTAGGCGAGTTAGTTACTGGCCTTGAACTTGTGTCTTTATTTTTTTTGTTAAAAAAAACATTTTTTTTTTAATGTTTTTATTTACCTTTGAGACAGAGCAGAGCAGGGGAGGGGCAGAGAGAGAGAGGGAGACATAGAATCTGAAGCAGGCTCCAAGCTGTCAGCACGGAGCCGGGTGCGGGGCTTGAACTCACAGACTGTGAGATCATGCCCTGAGCCGAAGTTGGACGCTCAACCGACTGAGCCACCCAGGCGCCCCCGAACTTGTGTCTTTAAAAGTAGATGTAGTAAAACTACCACCTTGGATTATTGAATATTACATTGTTCTGTGTGATAACATCTTAAAAAAATTTTTTTTTAAGTTTTGTATTTTGAAAGAGAAACAGAGAGAGAGGGCAGAGGAGGGGCAGAGAGAGAGGAAGAGAGAGAATCCCAAGCAGGCTCTGCGCCCTCAGCATGGAGCCCAGTGCAGGGCTCAGATTCACCAACCACGAGATCATGACCTGAACTGAAACCAGGAGTTGGACACTTAACCAACGGAGCCACCCAGCCACCCCTATATATGACAGCATGCTGAACAGTACCTGGTCCACGGTAACCACCCAGATTAGTTTTCCTTGCCCTTGGGATTTCAGTTACTAATGTGGGTCCTTGAGAGAAATTCTAATTAGATTGTTTTACTTGCCTACAAAATCCTACTTTAGTAGAATCCAAACTTTGACATGCAGGAGACTTACCTGGGTACTTGGTTAAAATCTTGCTGGTTTCTGGGTCCCCCTCCCCACCCCCCTCAGGATTTTGATTCCGGAAGTCTCAAATGGCACCCCGGGGCTTCACATTTTGGTATTGAATTCTGGGACTAGAGGTCTTCTCAGACTTCATTCTGACAGTCTGAGATGCAGCCTGACTCTGGTCATTCAAGTGAATGAGGAGAAGAGGAGGGAACAATGGGCCGATTCCCTGGCTGGTCCTGGCCAGCATGCTGACCCTGCATCTAGATCCCGTGTCCTCCTTGGGTCCTGATTGCCTGCTCATTAATTCACAGACATTTAATGAGCACTTACTAGAAGTTCACTGAGCCGGCATTAGATATATGAAGGTAGCTGCAGTGGTTTCTGTGCAGGGATCTCAGGGAACTGAATGCCAAGCCCAGGGCCTGACACAGGTGTCAGTATCAGTGTTTCCTACCGATGCCATTCTTTCCAGGGACGCCCTTGAGCCCATCACCAGCCCGTCCTCCAGCCCAGCACTGTGCATTTTCACGTCTCCTTGCCGGGCTTCCTATCCGTTACTTCTGCATTATAGGTAGGTACTTAACCTAGCACTGCCTAGGCGCTCTTTAGATATTTGGGGGATTTAATTTCCTTTGGCAAATGTATCTTCTGTAACTTGGTCCATGTTCATGGAATCATCACATAGTTGAGCCGGGAACTGTCCCAGAAGCTGAGGAGGCGACAGTGCACAAAATTTAAAAATCCCTGCCTACGTGGGGAAGAGAGGCCATACGAACAACCTGTTTGGACTTCTGTATTTGATTGCTGTCCGTACCCTGAAATGTGCTGCAGGCTTGTTTGTTCTGGCTCCTACCTTAGTTCCCTGCCAGGTGGACTTCTTTCCCAACCCTGGTCTACACCAGCCCTGTCCTGGGGCAATTCTCTGTGTGGCGGAGAGCTCTCGGTTATCCAAGCGTCTGCAGCTCCTCTAGGCTCTAACCTCTAGGCTCTAACCAGGATCAGTCATTCATTTCCAAATGCCAGAAGTTTCTACACTTTTTGAGAGAGAGAGAGAGAGAGAGAGAGAGAGCGCGCGCGCGCGAGCGAGCGCAAGTGGGGAGGGCCAGAGAGAGACAGAGGATCCGAAGGGGGCTCTGCGCTGACCACAGAGAACCTGATTCATGGCTCGAATTCAAAACTGAGATCATGAGCATTCAGTTAATTTTTTTTTAAATGCAGCTTGTATACCCTCTCTCTCAGAATATTAAGGGAAGACTTGATAAAGCCAAGTGATTCCGCGGTCTCTCATTTGTTTTGTTCTTTTGCAATAGTGCTTTTCTTTTGAAGTGTCTCCGCTATTACACCAAATATAAAAATAACTATGCTTTGCATGCATATTCCATAACTTATTTTGAACAGAACTTTTAATAATTTATCAGTAAAAGATAATCTTACCTTTATTATTTTTTTAATTAAAAAAAATTTTTTTATGTTTATTTTTGAGAGAGAGGGAGCAGGGGAGGGGCAGAGAGAGAGGGGGACAGAGGATCCAAAGTGGGCTCTGTGTTGATAGCAGACAGCCGGATGTGGGGCTCGAACTCATCAACTGTGAGATCATGACCTGAGCCAAAGTCAGACGCTTAACCAACCGAGCCACCCAGGCACCCCAAGATCATCTTACCTTTAAATGTGTGATTTGGGGGTACTGCATATGTTTTGCTGCATTCTTGAGCTCCTTGTATTTTTAAATCCAAGTCCAGTTTTATTCATAAAAATGAGAGGGGATTTCAGTTTTGCAAATACTCTACAAAGTGAGTTGCATCTGAAAATTCAGGTTAAAGAAGTCTAACTTTAATTTTTTTTTATTAAAAAAGTATTTTAACATTCATTTTTGAGAGACAGAGCACGAGCAGAGGAGAGGCAGAGAAAGAGGGAGACACAGAATTGGAAGCAGGTCCCAGGCTCCAAGCTGTCAGCACAGAGCCCGCCGCGGTGCTCGAACCCACAATCCTTGAGGTTATGACCTGAGCTGAAGTCGGACACTTAACTGAGCCACCCCGCACCCCCAAAAGTGTGATTTTAACTACTTCTCTGAAGAGTCAACTTTTTGTGAAAATGCCCCTCAAATATCTTATTTCTATCTCTTCACGTGGGTATATTTGTATACTTGACCTCTGTCTGTTCTTGTCTTTGACTCTTTGCATGTCTTTTATCATCTTCCAAGTCTGTATGGTTTCCTGTTGAGAAATATGTGAACTGGGTTAATGGAAATTCTTTGAGAAACACATTCAAACACAAGGATTTCACTTCTCTGCTGTGAAGTATGAGATAAGCAATTTATTATTTTATTTTATTTTATTTTATTTTTAAATTTTTTTTTTAACGTTTATTTATTTTTGAGACAGAGAGAGACAGAGCATGAACAGGGGAGGGGCAGAGAGAGAGGGAGACACAGAATCTGAAACAGGCTCCAGGCTCTGAGCTGTCAGCACAGAGCCTGACGCGGGGCTCGAACTCACGGACCGTGAGATCATGACCTGAGCCGAAGTCGGACGCTTAACCGACCAAGCCACCCAGGCGCCCCTATTTTATTTTATTTTTTAATGGTTATTTATTTTTGAGAGAGAGAGAGAGAGTACGCAAACCGGAGGCAGAGAGTGGATCCAAAACGGGCTCTGCACTGACATCCGTGAGCCCAGCGTGGGGCTTGAACTCGCAAACTGTGACATCATGACCTGAGCTGAAGTCAGACATGCAACCCGACTGAGCCACCCAGGGGCCCCCCCAAGATAAGCAATTTAATGTGCACATAGTATTAGTCTTTAGTAATACACAGTGTTAAAACGCCACGAATCCCCGATGGTCACTCTAAAAAGCAGCACTCTAAAAAGCAGCCGGGTTGCTGTGCTTAGCACAAGTTCAAACTGCTACGTTAGAACTTAATTTGAGAGTCTGTGCGTATGCACCATGGAAAGCGGCCAGCACTGGATGGAACCACCCGTCAGAGCAGTTGGGGTTGGAAAAAACCCCGAGATCTGGCTGCTCTGATATAATGAGAATGCAGACATCATGATATTGACACAGTGACACGTTCCCACCACAACCCAAGGTTTACTTCGAGAACCTGAAAGAGATAATGCGCTGCATTCTTTTCTCTTCGTACCCCCTCCCCCACCCCCGCCCCCCGCTGCCCAGGGGTGACGGTTAAGAGGGGGTGTGGGGTAAGGGTGAAAAATCTGAACCTGGATCTGGACGGGCCACAATAACAACCGTGAGAAATCCACTTTTGTTGTACCTGGTGTTTCCCCTCACTGAACTGACATTTAGTGATTGGAATACCTGAACGCACACCAAAACTTGGGTGTCTTATTTTAGGCTAAAATCGGGGCTCAGGTGGCCTTGGGAAAGGGAACCAGACAGATGCAAACTTTACAGGCAAAAAAAAAAAATTAGTGTCTCCAACCCGAGGTTTGGCCCAGCTGCTCTGAAGGCTGTTTCTGTTTTTTGTTTTTTGTTTTTTAAATCCTGCCTCGGCTTTCGTTCTCTTTAATGACATTTTCATGCTCTCCCCCACCCCACCCCCAGTACCTTTCCAGTAAAATCTTTACCAGGCACGCTGGGACTCCTGCCCTTCCCTTCAGTAATTAGTGATAAGATTTCTCCTGTAGTACAGATACATACAGATTTGTTCCCTCTCCTGCTTTTATGATACTATTTTAGAAACGGAGCTGCCGTTAAAGGTTGTGTTTGAACACATCTTTGGAACAAGAACTTTAATTAAGGGATCAAAAGGCTTAAGCTCATGCTTTTTTTTTTTTTTTAATTTTTTTTTTTTAACGTTTATTTATTTTTTTGGGACAGAGAGAGACAGAGCATGAACGGGGGAGGGGCAGAGAGAGAGGGAGACACAGAATCGGAAACAGGCTCCAGGCTCCGAGCCATCAGCCCAGAGCCCGACGCGGGGCTCGAACTCACGGACCGGGAGATCGTGACCTGGCTGAAGTCGGACGCTTAACCGACTGCGCCACCCAGGCGCCCCAAGCTTATGCTTTTTAATAACTGAAGCGAGTATCTATAATTTTTCCTAGCTAAAATCTATGGAAATTCTTATCAGCCTAGCTTCTTTTACTTCCAACTTGTAACGAAACTTTTCCTTCAGGCTCCCTTTTTTTTGCCCAGTAGGACCAACTCTTGTGATTATCATCAGCTAGAGGAAATCCATACGTCTCCCCGGGTAACGTGAAGTCGCCATGTTGCCAAGGACCCTAGGGATTTTCTTCTGTGGTCATGGTCACAGCCAAAGTCTTCTTGAAGGACACATTTTCATTTCATTGCCATATTTGGTGGCTAAGAGCCTTCCGGTTACGTTGCTAAACGTTCAGAATTTAATTTGCTCGATTCAATGGCCGAAGAAACCCACCGACGACTGTATGTACTCATACATATGAAATAAATGACACGTGCCAGCCCCCGGAAGATGAGCCATTCCTCCTGCTAATCTGGGGAGATGTGTGTGAGTTGTCTTGCTTTTTGTTTTGGAGGGCGAGGGCTGCTGGTTTGGGTAGATTTCCAAACCACCCCAGAGAACCTGATGGGGGGAAACTCACAGCAGGCTCAGGGAGCAGTCCTACGTTGGGTGGGGAGGGGTGGGGGAGAGCTAGAAAAAGATTGGAGAGTTCCAGGAACTGGAATTGTTTAGCATGCAAAGCAGGGACAGGAGAATTGTCGTGTCCTACCACAAGTGAAATTCAGAGAAAACAGGGATTTCGACCCCAGTGGAACATAAAAGGGCAGACTTTAAATTTAGAACCAATAATTGCCATGAGTTGATTAATGACATGAACCAGCCTAAAGTTGGTATCCCAAACTTCTGGCGTGTGGCTTTTGTGTTCTCTTAGCTCTGTAACACTTTGTCTGGAATACAAGCATCTAGGTAAAGGTAGATTTCCAGATCCTTGGAAAGTCAGCTTTCGCCCACACATAAGAAAAACTGTAAAATGTCAAGTGGGCTCGGATGTGGGTCTTGCCCCTCGGGGTGTTTTGCTCACAGTGTCACTGTTGGAATGGGGTTGGGGGGGTCTGTCATGAGGGTGCAAGCACACTCCGTGAAATCACCTTCAAAAGCTTGAGACAGCTTTTTAAAAAAAAATGTTGATTTATTTTGACACACAGAATGGGGAGGGGCAGAGAGCGAAGGAGAGAGAGAATCCCAAGTGCACTCCACGCTTAGCTCATAGCCCGACATGGGGCCCCATCTCACGTCCGTGAGCTCACGACCTGAGCTGAAATCAAGAGTCAGACACTTAACCGACTGAGCCCCCCGGTGCCCCGAGACCTCTTTCAAATGGACTTTTCTAGCTTAATAATAGCCAACTGTAGATTTGTCATGAGAGAACCATTCTACCAACTTTATTGAATATATTTTTATTTTCACTTTGTTGACTTGGAGTAGTGAGTAAAAACGAAATGATTTCCCTCCCTTAAGCTAGATGTTGACCATTTAGAAACACAGCCTAAGAGACTTCCAAAAACGAGTAAATATCTCCTGCTGTTTGAATGGCCAGCCTTCAGACTGATTAAGAAAGTGCTCAGGCAGGTATTCTGAGTCACTGTGTGATTCCAGACATGCCCACTGACCTCTCTCCAGGCGTAAGTGAAGTTAATGTTTTTCCTCTCACCAGCTCACAGTGGTGCTTGGGGGACGGGAAAAATGAATGTGGCAAAGTCCAGTGCAGAGTTTTTAAATGCCGTAGGAAAAATCGGGTAAAAAAAACCAAAAAAAAAAAACAAAAGACAAACCAAACAAACCACTTCTTTTTGGTGAAATGTAGCCTGCTGGGTAAAAGACACAGGGCATACGGTCTTCTTGGCTCCCGGACAAAAGTATCCATCCTTCTCTAACTCCAAATGAAAGGTAGAAAAACACCACGGAAGGTTTTAAGAAAGGAAGCGGAGTGTTCTGCAGACCTACGAGGCGAGTCCTGTTCTTTTCTCTTGTCTCCGGGACAGAAAATGTGATCAATATCAAGATGTTTCATTGCTGATACTTACATAGAGAGACCTCAGCGCTCACCTCTCAAAACACATGTCTTCGGATGCCAATTTCACCGCTGAAAGTGAGCAGAACTGAGCTGTCCTAAAGGGGGGTTAGTGGTGTCATTGTGGGCGTTGGGAGGGTGCCCAGGCTGTGTCTTTCGTCCGTTCTCAACTGTTGCTTCTTAAGACACACACATTCGTGCCCCAGCGTGGTGTCCAGCCCGTGCTGACACACACATACTCTGCTGGAACGCCTTTCCCTACTAGCGGGCCACGGGCACATCGTTTTACGACACAGGGTTGTCTGAATGGCCATCTTTCGAGCAGCACGCACTCTGAAGCATCCTTCGCCACTTCATGGGGAAATGTAATCAGAAGTCAGGCTGGCTGGGCGTCTAACGAGAGAGAAGCAAAGGCTTCATTAAAGACGAGTTGTTTAAAATGTCAGCAACGGGGGGGCACCCGGGTGGCTCGGTTGGTTGAGCATCTGACCTCTGCCCAGGTCATGATCTCGAGGTTCGTGAGTTCAAGCCCCACGTCAGGCTCGCTGCTGTCAGCTGTAGGCGCAGGGCCTGCTTTGGATCCTCTGTCCCCCTCTCTCTGCCTGTCCCCCCCCCCCCCCCCCCCCGGTTGCACTGTCCCAAAGATAAATAAATAAAATGTCAACCAGGAAACAAGCGTTCAGTTTTTTTCTTCATGGGAACACCATGCTGTGTGCAACCCCACCAAGGCAAGAAACCTGGAAATAAGTTACCATGAAATGGATGGAAAAGTCTGAGAGTGTTTGGTTTTCTCTTTGGCTGGTTGGTTGGTTTTTTGGTCTCACCAAAAGTAGCCACCAGCCCATCAAGTTTGGGAGACACAATTTCAGAAAGCACAAATGCCTGCCCCCACGTGAAGCTGCTTTTCCATACCCATGGAACATTTGGAGAACCGAAAATGTCATTTGTTTGTTTGTTCTTTCTTTTTTTTAATCGCTTGCATTTCTTTTTTTTTAATTTTAGAGAGATGGCGGGGGGAGAGAGGGGCAGAGGGAGAGAGACGGTGGGGGAGAGGGGCAGAGGGAGAGAGAGCGAGTGGGTGGGGGAGAGGGAGAGAGAGAGAAAATCCAAAGTAGGCTCCACGCTTAGCTTGGAGCCCGATGTGGGGCTCGATCCCATGACCTCGGGATCATGACCCAAGCCGAAATTAAGAGTTGGACGGTCAACCAACTGAGCCACCCGGGCACCCCAATTTGTTTATTTTTTCGTTAATTTGTCCAACGAACTTTATCGAGCACCTACACTGTACCAAGCAGTTAGTGCTGGAGATACAAGCATAAAGGAGACCCAAATACTGCCTTGGGGAGGCTCCAGGCCCATGCTCCATTGTGGGTTCTGCATGTGTGGTTTAAGCTAATTTCCCCAACTGGACTAGGCACACTGAACATCAGAATCAGAGACAAGTGATTTCTTCCACTCACCAATAGCTTAATTTTCACTAAAAAATGCTGTGTCTAAAGAAAGACATTCCCGTGACCTATTTCAAAGACTTCATTTAAAAACACACTTGGAAAACACCAGTACAATAGTGGTCTTTTTGATTCTAAAGTGAAGTGATGCTACTGGGCACCCATAGAGCCTGAATAGCTACAACAGCGGATCAGAAAAGGTGAGGTTAAAGGGACACTTGTTGGGCCCCCTTTGGTTCAATGATCTTGAATCCTAATCCCTCTTCTCCATATGGGAGAGGCTTACAAGGCCGTCACCCCCAAGAGGCCAAGGAGGCAAGTCCAACAGTAATGGCTTCACACGGACTGAGTGCCATCAGAGAGACGTGTTTTTTCAGAGGGGGAGAAATGCCTTACAAATAATGAGATCGACCAGACCCTACCTATGGAGGGGTAGGCAGAAGTGGAGCGTTGGCCTGGGCGGCTCAGTCCGTTGAGCATCCGACTTTGGCTCAGGTCGTGATCTCACAGTTGGTGAGTTTGAGCCCGGCATGGGGCTCCCTGCTGTTAGCTTGGAGCCCCTTTGGATCCTTTGTCTCCCTCTCTCTCTCTCTCTCCCCTCCCCGGCTTGCACTCTCTCTCTCTCTCTCAAAAATAAATAAACATTAAAAAAAAAAGTCCAGTGTTGGCCTGACCCCTCTGATACTGACCACGTGCTCCGGCCAGTCACCTTACCTCTTTGGGCCCCAGGTTCCTCACTTGAGACATGAGATCATTTTGCCAGATGACGTCTGAAGGCCCTTCTGATTCTAACGTGTTATTCTGTGATGAAGGCACCACTAGGTAGCATGTGGGCCAGGGTGGCGTCAGTGCTCCGAATAGAATAATTGTGGTGCGGCTTCTGGGTTAATAATTTACCAAAAGAAATGAGCTGTTTCACACCTCTGCTCCGTGTTCTCCTTTCCAACTCTCAGCAGGAAAACAAACGGCAAACGGCAATGCCTTAATTCACAAGCAAAGATTATTTTTGGCAATTGGAAAAGTGAGGCACTTCTGTGTTTACACACACCCATTATAGACATAAATATGAGTATACATTTGTAAATGTGTCCATACGTGCTATCAGTTGTCATTAATCGTGAATATCCCAAATCATAAAGTTATAATAGCTAATATTTATTGAGCACATATTATGTGCCAAGCACCGGTAAAGGCTTTGTGTACCTTATCGGTAACTTCTTTTTTTTTTTTTATTGGTAGCTTCTTTTAATTAATTTATTCTGTTTCCGTCTTTTTTTTTTTTAAAGGATTAAATTTTTTTTTTTAATGTTTATTGATTTGAGAGAGAGAGAAAGTGAGAGAGCTCACACGTGCCAGCTTGGTAGGGTCAGAGCGAGAAAGAGAGAATCCCAAGCAGGCTCCAGGCTGTCAGCACCAGAGCCCGATGTGGGGCTCAATCTCAGGAACCTGAGATCATGACCAGAGAGGAAACCAAGAGTCGGATGCTTAACTGACTGAGCCCCCCAGTCACCCCTCTTCTATTTCCATCTTAACGCCCACAATTGACTTCCCCAAATAGGGAAATTTATAAAGTTGATTGCAAACGTTTTGTCTGGCAGGCATAGCCGTTAGAGTGTGGGAAACAATATTTCAAAAAAAGCGCCCTCCGTTTTTCTGATCTTTGGTTCAAGGCCTCTCTAGAAATGCATGCATTTGACCATGTTCATGTGTAAGGGTAGGGACTTTGCCTCTAAAACGCTCTCCTCTTTGGGACAGAGAGGGAAGCTCTCGGGAGGTTCTGGAGGGTGGGAGACCTTGCCCTCTCCGGCGAGATCAGAAAAGAATGTCAACAAGGCTCAAGGAAAATGTTTCTGGCAATGAGCGTTGTGTTTGGTTAAGTTACTATGATATTTGGATCACATGTCCTGGAAACAGTTGTAGAATACATTTTCACATAACTGAGACAATTCAGGTGTGCTGCTTTCTGTCTGGACCCTGCCAAAATCCACACGAGTACTGAAATGTCACGGGATCGCTAATTCCCACTTGCTTTGCTCGTGCGGCACTCCCAAACAGTTACGGAACATTAAGTAGCAGAAGGGACGTGGCTCATCTTATGATGATTAGCATTCTACGTGTTTCCCCAAAATGTACAAATATAAAATATGCTGGGTTCTCCTCATATGCTCGCATATGGAAAATGAATAAAAACTGTTTACGTTGGCTTCAACACATGTCATTTTCTTGCTTAGTGGGTTTTGATACTCTTCAGCTTCTCAAGATACCAGGATCCGTATTTACTACAATAGTGAATTTCATGCTCCCAGCCTCCCTCCTCTCTTTTCTTTTTTTTTAACGACTCCATTGTTAAATAAATGGATAATGTCAGCTTTCCCAATAGCACCAATAGTGTTTGTTGCTGTTTCATAAGTAATTTAGGAAAAGCAACTGAAGCAGAGAGAAGCTAAATTTTTTATGACTGTATTCTCCTCTACTGGATATCACTATAATCTTCAATATTAACGCCTTCCTTACAAGTGTAAGGTTGGAAAATTGAAGTCGGTGGGTTAGATTGATAAATGCAACAATTGGGAAATGTTCTCAGGTGCCTAGCCGATTCTGCTTTGATCATTAAGTGAAAAGAGTGCTTTGCTTAGTGCGTGCATTATCTAAATATCTAATATGTGTTTATGTACTCTTAATTGTTGTAATACCTTTTTTATCTTTTTTTTTTTTTTTT